AAGGTAAGTATATATATATATATATATATATATATATATATACATGTCTGAATGCTGTATAGATGATACCGTTCGTGCTACATAGAACCGAGACGTATACATGTTTACATCTATCAATATTGATGTAGACCAACCGATTCTCACACCACCCGTCATACGCAAAATGTGCGTTTACATTCAAAACTTCTCACTAAACACAGAGCAGGATGATGTTGTTGCGAGTAGCTACAGTGGGTCAGCCTATCACACAACGTGGAAGTGTATGCTATACAGCTGGCCTTGTAAGTGTAAATGCAAGTGACTAGGGTATGACATACAGTAGCACGCCACACAATACGCATGCTTACTGGAGAGCAGTCACTTACACCTGAGTGGGGTTTGTCAAAAGCCCGTATAAATAGGTACCCCATGGGCCAGGCAGTGAAGCCTTTTAAAAGGCACAAAAGTATATAAATATTACAGAGTGCGGGCAGACAATCGAATGAATAAACCATACTATACTCATCTGAATCACACTGAATCTACCACATGAAACGTGTACCTATCTCATCGTCGTGATGGTTCTCAATCTTCGCGAAGGCGGCCTTCAGATCTAGGTGGCGTAGGGCCGCTATAGACCCGCTTCTGTACGAGAAAAGACCCCCGGGTACCAGGTTTCCGGCCAAACTCAGCCTTGTTCGGGCCCTATTGGCATTCTGGCTATCAGAGACCGACAGGCGTTGACCTGTTCCTTTGACTGGTACGCCATTCGATACGTATTGAAGTGATCTTGAAGATGAGGGACCGGCTTCCAGTCCTCGCGATGGGTCGGGAAGAGCACCGTCAGACTCGGCATGATGTATCTCTGTGGTGGAAGTGAAGGTGTACTTTACTTAGCTTATGTATATACGCTTTGCGTATGAAGACGTACGCATATGCATTAAAAAAACACATAAACTCTGGGATATGCGGCTGTGACGACGAGTGGCTAAATAACAGACGTCGGAGTGAGTATCAAATGGCACCATCAATCTCAGTACGTCCAAATCGCAGAATATATACGAAAAAAAAACGATATATCCCGTATGACATATATGCATGCGACGCAAGGTGGATATATACATGACCGTGAAAATCAAGTAGGTGGGGCGACCTCGTATTCTAGTGTATACAGCTATTTTCATAATCGTGAGTTCGTGATACATGATTATAATTATAAT